TTAGTGAGACTTATTTTATGTTCTAATATATGGTCTGCTTTGGAGAAAGTTCTACTGGTTGCTAATAAGAATATATACAGTGGTACCTCACTTCATGAATGCTTTTGCTTGTGAACAATATGGTTCTCAAACAGAAGCATTTGGCAAAATTCTGTTTTTGTTCATGAACTCTACATTGGGTGGTGAACATGAACATGGCCATCTTTTCCAGAATCATGGAACAAATTAAGTTTGGGAATGGAGATATCACTATATTTCTTATGTTCCTTTGTATATTTTTTTTGTTTGTCTATTTGTGAGACAGGGGAATTGAAGTCCCTTTCTATGATTACATTTTTGAATGTCCTTTTATGTCTAGTACTGTTTGTTTTATGAAACTGTGCATTGACATTTTGGTGCATATACATTTTGTACTGCTATCTCTTCTTGGTGAATTGTTCTCTTTACCAATGTGTAGTGACAGCTTATGTCTCTTCTGAACAGTTTTGGTTTGCAATCAGTTTTGTTAGAATGCTATTCCTGTTCACTTGCTGGCTCCAACTGCTTGAAGTATCATTTCTATCCTTTTACTTCCAGTCTGTGTAGTCTTTGCAGATGAAGTGTGTTTCTGGGATGCAACATGTAGACTGGTCTTGTGTTTTGATCGAATCTGCCAGTCTGTTTGTTTTAATTGAAGAGTTAAGATTATTTACATTAAATGTTATTGAGAGGTATGTACTAATTCTTGCCATTTTGCTGCTTTTACAGGGTTTATTTCATTTGTTTCTATTCATCTACACTTTCAGTGAGATTTATTCTTTGCTATGGCCTCATGCTTATTGTCACATTGAGTCTGTTCAGGATTCCCTTAAGTATTTTTTGCTATACTGGTTTGGTGGTCATGAATTTCTTTAGTTCATCCTTTCATGGGCTGACAATTATTTTCTTTCAGGACTTGAAAAACTTCATTCCCCAGCTTCCTGGTCTTTAAGGTTTCTCTTGAGACATCTGCTGTTATTCTGAGGGGTCTGCCCTTATAAGGTTATGCTGCTTCTCTCTAAAGGGTTTTAGTATTCTTTCTTTGTTCTGGAAGTTTGACTCCGATGTGTCATGAAGAGGTTCTTTTCTGATGGTGTCTCTTGCAGTTCTAAATGTCTCCTTTGTCTGGGTATCCACCTGATTCCCTAGTTTTAGAAAATTTTTGGTGATAATTTCAGTGAATAGATTTTTATCCCATTAGCTTGTACTTTGGCACTTTTCTTGAGACCAACATTCCCTAACTTTGTTCTTTTTGGGCTGTCTATGAGTACTTGGATCATCTTTTGATCACCTCATACTGTTTTTCATTGTTACTGACTGAATGTTTTAGTGTGTCTGCATTGTCTTCAGTTCTGATAGTCTCTTAGTGGATTCATCTTGCCCATGGTCAAGATTTTCAGTTGAGTTTTTAAATTTCAATTATTGAGGTTTTCATTTTTGGGATTTCTGCTTGATTCTTTTCCGTAACCTCTATTGCTTTACTGAAGGATAGTAGTCTTGTATATCTTTTGTTATCTTTTAAAATTCACCCACCTGCTTATTTCTATCTCCTTTAATATCCCTCATAGTTTTAGTAATTGATTTGTTCTGCTGCTTATTTGTCCCATCTTTGATCTCATCTATCATTTTAACTACCAATTTTTTGAATTATCTGTTTGGAATTTCATCCACATCTGTATCTGTGGGATCAGCTTTTTTGGAGTTAAGAATTTTGGGAGGCATTTTGTTTCCCTGTTTTCTCATTATAGTTGTGCTTTTGTGTCAAAGTTTGTAAATTAAATGGGAAGGTTGTCCCTTCTACTGTTGTGTGGGGGCTTTTTGTCATCTCTTTGTAATGTGATCTTTGTTGATATGTCTCTGTGTGAGTTTTGCCCTAGTTTGTTCTCAGTGCTGGGTTTAGCCATTAACAGTGTTCTGAGAGTAGAGAGTATCTACCAGTAACTTCAACAGTGTAGAAGGTAGCCATGAATAACATCAGGTAATGAAGAACTTGTTTTTAGGGATCTCTACTATTTTGCTATCCCGAAAATGAGAGGGAGAGATAAAACTAGTGGAAAAAATTAAATTTTAATGATAATCAGATTTATCTTGGAGACTTTGAAGTAAAAGCAAAAAAATTCCTTCCTTCCTTCCTCTTTTCTTCCGTTATGGTTTATATTTAGATATGCCTTCAGAGCTTCCTGTGCTCATAGGTGGAGCTTTTGGAAAATGGCTGGATCATAGGTATGTAATACTGATTAAGGGTGGAATAACTGTATTAGTTCACTGATTGATTTAGCACAGTTCTGGGTATGGATAATGGGAAGGCCCACCCTATGTGAGGGTGGAACCAACCAACAGGCTTCCAGCCTGAATGAAATAAAAAAAGGGAAAGAAAAACCCACTGCTTCTTGCCTGCCATGCCATGGGGTATTTCCCCTCTGCCATGATGCCCTGCCTTGGAGCCAGCCTACCACGGTCTGAAACCTCCACAAACTGTGAGCTGAAATAAACTTCTCCTTCTTTAACTTGTGAGTGTTGGGTATTTTGTCCCAGCAATGAGGTTTCAGTGAAGGCCCCAAGAGAAAACAAGTGACTCATAGCAGGGTAATTTGGGCAAGAGTTTAAATAGTATTATATGAAAGAGTATATGAACAAGCACAAGAAAACACAGTACTCTGGGGCTAGGAGCCGTGGAGTGCCAAAGTCACCTTGAAATCAGGATGTGCAGAGGACACCAGGAGCCAGAGAAGGTCTGCAGAAAGTTGCCTGCCAGGAGCTGAGGTGAAGCTGGAGGAGGTCAATAGCTCAGAGACTTTGCAGGAGAGGGAGAAAGAAAGAGAGACAGAGCGAGAGAGCGAGAGAGCGAGAGAGCGAGAGAGCGAGAGAGAGAGAGAGAGAGAGAGAGAGAGAGAGAGAGGGAGAGAGATTCTGTTCTCCCCCTTCCCACGGGCTGTCCCTAAGCAGAAGCCAGAGCAGAAGGGATGGCAGTGCTGAAGTTTTACCATCCAGCCCCCTGTGTAGAAGTGTGGGTGGGGAAGATGAGCAGAGGGATGTTCAGAAAGGCAGGGGAGGACGTGGGAATGTGTCGAATGCTTTCGGATGGGCTCAGTGGAACAAAACGGATATTCTGGATGTATTAATCTAGCAGCTGTTATGCAAGCAGAAGAGGTTAGAGGCAGGGACACCATTAGGGAAATCACAGTTGGCATTTTTCACAGAGTAAATTAAAAAGATCCTAGAACAGGTTGGTGACAAAGGGAACAGAAACAAATGTAAAAGGCATTATAAAGAATTTCCAGTAATTCATATGGCCAAATTTGGTGTCTCTGTAATATTTCCTTCAGATTTCTAAATTTTATAAAATGTATGTAATTTGTGAGTCTAGAGTTTAGCAACAACATCTTCCTTCCTTAATTACTTTTCTCTTTATTTTTCTTTCCTTTTTTGCATTTTGATTTTCTTATTTGATATTCAGTTCTTGTTGAGGCTATAGCTCAGTGCTTCAGTAATTTACTTTGAACCTAACACTTTACAGAATACCAAATGAGAATTCAAAATTCAGGCTGCTTTCTGATTGTTTTAAATGTTTTCCCAGTGTAACTAATAGTTTACCATGAATTCTAAAAATCAAACTATTTTAACTGCTCTATATTTATATGTGAAAACACACATTCCATACTATGACAGTGGTAAATTTCTTTTTTCCTGCAAACAATGCAAATGTCTATTTCAGTCTATAAGTTCTATGCATTTTTCTTTTATATACTCATTTATCTTCAGTATAATATAGGCATAAATTGTCTGTCAGAAGCACCTACACAGATCTTGGTGGCTGACATAAAAATCATAAAAGTAGAATAGCTTAGTCTCACTCCATTATATGATCTTTTGAAAGTCAAGAGTACGCAGCACTCTATTTTGGGTACTTACTTCTCAGGGAATCTTCTTTGTTTTATTTTCTGCAAAAAGATAAAAAGTAATTTTACCAGGAGATAATGCCAACTGAAGAGCTAGTCTATTTCCACTCCCTTTGCCCTGCATCTACATTTCAACCTGCCTGAACAATATTATTTTGGAGGAATAAAATTCCCATAGGTCTGATCAGATATGCTGGAACCTGTCTTCACTTGACTCTTCTACTCTGGAGACCAGGTGACAGGGCAGGGCAAGGGCGGCAGTCCACTCTGCAGCCCCACAGAGCTTAGGCTCACCTGCTGAACCAGGTCCAGGTGCTCTTGGGAGCTGCTGAAGTTTCTCCCAATGTCAAAGAGGCAGAAGGTCTCCTGCTGGCAGGTACTGACCCAGTCCTGGTATTCCCCTGTGTCAGGGATGCGATCCAGAAAGACCCGGTATGCTTCCCACACTGCTTCCTGGCACACTGCAATACAGAGCCACTGGGTGGGAGACAGCCTCTTCCTAGGAAAAACGCTACCCCCGAAGCATGCTCTATAAACAGTTCTTTCCTGTCTTTCCACCATGTCCCTGGGCTGTCATTCAAGGAAACAATTTTAAATAACAGCAATGACACTGAGAAAGCATGAAGTTAGTTGCAGAATAACATATCTTTTGGCTGCTTGGGTGATTTTTTTTTTGTACAAGGAATCAATAGAGCACGAGTCCTTTACCAGCAGCAACTTGACCAGAACCTTGGCGGTAACTGATCTTTTCATCGGTAACTCATGAAAGCAGGATCAGGTGCAGCCCCACCACTTGAATGTGTCATCTTGCTTCTGCTGTTTGGGCAAACAGCAGGGTCAACACACATGGGAAGCAAGAGAATAATTTCACTATAGGAAACCCGCCGCTGTCCTGCCAGGAAGGGATCAAGGATCGGTTTCAGTGCCTTTGCTGATACCAACATCGTGCAGTGTCCAGACCTTCATTTCTTGTCAAAGGTTTACATGCCACGTAAGAAGGAAACAACACTTTTATATTTTGAAACTTACCGAGATTCTAAGTGTTGTGTGTCCAGGCTGAGTAAATCAACTGCCGCTGCTGTTCTTGTACCTTATGTAATTTATACCATGTTTGGTGATGGTTTTGCCCTTCTATCTTTTCTCAATGTATCCAATGGTTTAATTCAATACTCATCCCAGTGCCAGAAATGCAACAGTAAAGCAAATTAGTAGGGCCACTGAGGGCTTTGTTTTGGTGGCTTTCACAGGCAATTGGTGTGTGTGGAACTTTTGGGAAAACATAGTACAACAGTCTCATCTGTGTACCAGTTCATCACAGGCTTGGGCCTCTTGCTTTTGGACTCAGTTTAAGTTTTTTTTTTTCAGTCCAATTCAAATCTGAGCTAATTTTGTTTGCAGTTGAGGCTAGTTGTTGCCAGTTGAGCCCAAACTCAATCTTGCAGGAGAAATTTCCCTTCCTGCTCCCCCACAGAGCATTATATCCGAGGACACATTGACAGTCATGCAGGGATTTTGCAGGCTGCACCCTGCCCCGTCATATGGTTGGAGAGCTTGAGGCTGCACTGGGAAGCAGGAGGCCCTTGTTAGTGGTGCCCATGTCCTCTTTGTTCTTCCCTTGATGCCCTTTTTTCCACTGCAGGACCAGAACCTGTTCAGCTTCCATCAACACTTGCTTTAAAGAAAGGCCCTAGGAGAAATTCCCCTTGAAGCACAAGAAAGCTACTTGAAGAACTATCCCTGGGGCTGTGCAGTTTGTAGTGACCACAGGTTAAGGATGAACCAGAACCAGTGGATTCTCTTCTACTTTTTTGAGAGATGTGTGTGTGTGTGTGTGTGTGTGTGTATGTGTGTTTGTGTGTGTGTGATCTGATGTTATTATTTCTGGGCTCTTGGAAGCTTCCCACAAACAGGTGGTGCAGGATTCTTTTGTGACTGATAAAGCACCTACAACCTCTTGGTGAATCCCCCATCCTTATTGAAAGAACATCAAAAAACAAAACAACACAAAACAAAACAACAAGATCCTCTAAAGTTGGAGGCATCACAGGGCTGGGAGTGATTGGAAAACTCCTCAAAGTTGGATTATTCTGATCCCTCAATTTACCCATTCCGTATCATCCTTCTCTGGCCTACTGGGAGGGCTCATCCCAGGGACTCTAGAGAAACCAGCGCTGTGCCTCTCTGGTCTTGCTGGGTTCTTGGAATCTTAGCACAGAGCCAGTCTCTGTGCTCCTTGACCACAAAGGAAGCATCCTGAGAGCACTTGGCCTAGAGGCCACCATAGATGTCCATAACAGATGTCCAGGCTGCAGACAGTTACTGTTCTAAACTGGGAAGTGTTAACTGAGACCGAGGTGTTGAAAGGCCCAGGGCAGGACCACCTTGGCACACATTAGACAGAGAGACACATCGGGAGGGGAGTCTAGTCGTGCCTCAGCTCTGCTCCCAACTGTGCCCCTGAGTACTTTACTTTATGTCTTCAGGGCTTAGTTGGTGCAATGTTGTTTAGATCATCATTTCTAGAACCCTAAGGTGCAAAAGATTGCCTGGTGATCATTTTAAAATGCAGATTCTGATGGTGGGGTGGGGTATGAGAGTCTACGCGTCTAAGGAGCTCCCAGCTACTGCTGATCTGTGGTCAGCACTTGGATCAGCAAGAATTAGAACCTTATCCATTTTAACCTGTTCTAAATTGCATGTCACTGAGAGAGACCTAGCTTTTGCTCTCTCCTGAGGAACACAAAGCTTGATGTTTTTGATGTTGGGATTGGGAGACAGGGGAAGGCAAAGACAGGGAGCATCATGGAATGAGGTGGTGATCTGAGTGGGAACCATACAAAAAACAGAAAGCTTACCTAGGAGGAGGATGGAGTCCAGCCTGGAGCCTTTGGAAACAACTTTGCATTTGTACTTTGGAATGAGCATGTTTATGAGCCCACTGCAAAGATCAGGACATTTTCACTGGTGTTTGCTTCAAGCACTGGGAAAAGAAGTAGCTCAATATTCCACTCGATTTAGGACTATGGGAACTTTCTCCCCTGAGTTTGAAAGAAGTTAACAGATAGTTTTATAAAGACAGTGATGAGAACAGTGAGCGGGTAACTCCATCAAAGGCCTTTGCTTTGCCACTGGGTCTTAGTTTTTGTTTCTTTGCGAACAAATTTGTTAGACTTAAGAAATTCACACTGATGAATAATAAAGTTTCTACCACCCAAGGGCAGCCATAGAGATAACGGGCTGTCACTGCCGCAGTGATAAAAACAGTGGTTTGTCTCACCCAGCAAAATAAGAAGGAAAGAGGCAAACCTAGTCAAGAATAGAGAACTAAGATCAAAGATGCGGAGCTAAGAACTTGGTTGCAGGAATAGCCTCTACTGTAAGTATCTGCAGCGGATCCTATTTGTGAATGTTGTAAAGAATTGGAAGCTACATGAAAATGGTTAGCAACAGTGTTTATTCCAATGCGTTACAAATACTACATCTATTTGTAGGTTTGTAGTTTTATCCATGAGCAAACAATACAGAATTCACCAGTGTCGTCATCTGATCAATCCGTAGGCAGGCTCAGAATGAGTGATTTACACACCGTGGTCTTTGCCTCACATTCCCAGTGAATGGGCTTCTGTGTCCATCAACCAACATTTACTGAGAACTTTTGGAAGTGCTATGCTAAGACTTTAGAATATTAAAGTAGAACAGTTCTTTTCTACAACTAGAGTTCTTTTGACCATGATTCAGTACTTTTCATTTTTTTATGGGTGCAGCTTCTATCAGAAGACAAACTTTTAAAAAATTTTCACATAAAATGACACACATGAGGAAACTAAGGCTTAGTCATGGAATGACTAATTATACCCCCAGAACCCAATTATGCCTCCAAAATAAGGCTTAGTCATGAAGTGATTAGTTATGCCTCCAAAGTCCAATAAGAACCCCTCAGATTGACTTAACCCTATGCACATCTTGAAGATGTAGATATCCAAGAGTTTTCCTGGAGGTCAGTATCACAAAGTGAGCTCTCAATTGTCAGAACACTAACACTGCACAGGCAAGGGTGGAATTACCTTGCTGTAGTCAGTGGGATTTAAGTAGAGGAGGGAGGCTCCACATTTCCGAACATGTAGTCTGATCAAGTGGAAATCAGCAAACCCCCGCAACTTTTGCAGGTAAGATGGATTGAACTTAGGATTCAGAGAGACAAGGTACTTTGCACATGGGAGCTACCTGGAGAATTCAACAGAACTATAAAGACTATTTTTTTCTTTCAAAGAAGAAGCCCTGGGAATTTTTTTTCACCCAGGGGAAGTAAATGCCTAAGACAGCCACTGATGGGCGTGATGTGGTTTAATTCCTCAATGATTTCTGGGAATGTTGTGAGAAGCCTGTTACGCTCTTTGGGTTACAAACTGCATTTTGCCTGTGCTGGAAACCACAGCAACACCTTGCACTATATCTTGGTATCCATCCTTCCTCTGTTTTTCACTCCGACCTGCTACCAAGCCCCCAAACTTCAGAAACTTCTGAACCTGCAGTAAATGCCTTAAAATTATCAAGAAGGAAGAGAAACAAAATCTACATTGTCAAGTTGCTTTGGGAAATTGGAATCTTGAGATATATAAATCAACTTGCCTAGATTCCTGATGTTGCAATAATCCTGCATTTTTTTTATCTCACAAGAACACCATTAAAATTGCGTATTAGGCTTTGACAAAAAAACAAAACAAAGAGGCAAAACCCATGTTTCTGGTGACCTGTCAAATGCTTTAATGGTTTGATGTTGCGCAAGTACAGGGAGTGATCAACATACCCAGTGAATATTTAATTTTAAAACATTGATTACAGTAGAAGACACAGTATCATTAATCCTGCACAGCCTATTCCCCTCACTTTGAACACACGTGTCCAGTTCTTGCCACTTTCTGGAACAGTTCTGGACGTTGCTTTGATGAGTGTCTTTATGAGGTGTGATCAAAAATATGATGACTGCTGTGCGGAGTGCCTTCCAACACTTCCAACAGAAAGGCAGGCTCCTAAGAACACTACAGTGCGTACGCATCCATCTTATTCACTGGGCCAGGCACCGTGTAACTTCTGATTCTTCCCCAAAGTCGAAACGACTATGAAAAGTAAATGTTTTGAGTAGATTCAGGACATCAAGGCAGCTACAACAGTGCAACTAAAGACACACATGAAAAAAGACTTTGGGAATTACTTTAGAAAGTGGCAAGAATGATGGGATAAGTGTGTTTGAAGTGAGGGGAAATTTTTTAAAACTTTTTTTTTTTGTCTTTTTGAGATGGGATTTCATTATGTAGTTCAGGCTGGCCTTGAATTCACTTTGTAGTTTAGGCAGCCTTCTTGAAGCGATCCTCCTGCCTCAGCCTCTTGAGTGCTGGGATTACAGGTGTGTACTACCTCACCTGACCAGTGAGAGGAAATTGTTTATGGGTGATTAATGGCAATGTGTCTTTTTTTGTAGTAAATACATTTAAGGAAAATTTATATTCAGTGTAGTTTTTGACTACACTTCATTGTTTTAAATGGTGCAAAATGATATGTAGCATAGTTGTGAATGTTTATTACTCCTTGCTATTAGACTCATGTGCTGATTTTTATAACTTTTGTAGCTGAGAGATCCTGGAAATTTAGGGATAAAAACAACCTATGGATGAATCAAAGAGAAGGGAAGAAGATAACGAAGGGCAAAACAGGTTTCACCTCTGTCCTTACCTCTCAATCTATAGTAAGCCTGAAGACTGTCTAAAATCTGTTTCATGGACTCCTCTGGACAGACATTAACCCCAGTTGGGAAAAGTGCTGATCTTTTTGTTCGAAGTTTTGCCAAATCGAATATTCGTCTCATGGTGGACATTTTATGCATGTCTGCAGCACTTTCAGTTGTTTCGATTCTTGGGACATTGTCTATGTCTTTAGTTTCAGAATGGTGTATTTTAGTGGAGATATCTGTAAGAGAAAGATCGATTTCCTAGTGAATATATACATTTGTGTGATACATGTGTCATATATGGATAAATGAATGAAATAAAATAAAAATTACAATCCTCTGGTTTATGAAATTTCTACTGTGGTTCAACTGCCAACCCTAATATTCCAATGAGAAGATACTTTCAGAAATAAGAAAATGGTATAATGGTCTGATCAAATATTTAAATCAAATTTTATTTTATCAAATTTTTAAATCTCAGCATCTCAAATCACCTTGCCTTTAGGAACTGCTGAACATTGAAACCATTTCCCAACATCTCTCTGAGAATCACGCCCCACTTAGCACTCACTCCTGCCGAGACAGTCCCCATCTGATGGACATTACAATTCAAGTTGGAGTGATAGAGCACCGCTGTACCCAGAGGTTTACTCTTGATGAGGAAGAAAAATACACAAAGTAACTTTCCTGCTGATTAGTGGCCGTTTTGGGCTTTCCCCGTGTGGGGGGTTAGGCAACAGTAAGCTGGCAGGCAGTGAGCAGTGGTGAAGTTGAGTCTCAGAGCGGTATTTGCAGAGCGAGCTTGTGATTTTACAGTGGGAGGGAAGACAAAGGGGAGAGAGGAGTCCGCTGGAGAGTGTCCCTGCCTGTGCCAGCTCACCTGTAAAACGACACTGTATCTGCTAGGGTGGGGACCAGGTTTCATTTTTAACCTTCTGGGCCCCTCATAAAAATAGGATACACAGCCTGAGTATTTTCTTATTTTGAAAATTTTCATACATTTTATTTTGCACCATTTCATAACAGTGTACACAGTACATTATCTTTCTCAGTTTATCACGCTGTGGGGCGCTGAGGCTTGCAGGTAGCACACAGTTAATAGGGAGTCAGGCCTTAATTCCTTCTCCCCCACTTCAGCTTTTTCCTTTTAATCGTTCTGTCTAGTGAGAAGGGAACTGCTGATGAATAGTCGGTCACCACTGTGAGCTGGCCACTCAGTGTGGCCCCGAGACTCCAAGCATGTGGTTATAGAGGTAGATATTTCCATTGTCCTAGAGAAGGCTCTTAAACTCACATCTTCTGAAATGTGGTATGGATAAGACAATCAAGCAGAAATCCAAGCCAGTCAGCTGCAGAGAATTCAAATCCTGTCACAGTGTCAAAGCTCCTCCTCTGTTATGGAAAGGGGTGGGCAGAGCCCTGGTGGGGTCATGAATTCTCTGTCACTTACAGCAGTCTCCAAGATGCCACTGGTCTGGGAAGTGGTGAATTCCTGGGAAAGACTCTCCAGGGAGGAAGGATGGTGAGAGGATAATTGGCTCAGCCCACCATATACTATAGCAATAAATCACAGTCCCTGGGTGGGACAGAGGCATCAGCACTTTGTGAGATCCTCAGGTAATTCCAATATACAGACAAGTTGGCAACTGTTGTTTTATGAGTCTGTAAGGATGCTTCCAGCTAGAGTTAAATAATCTACCTCAAACTGGTTTATACAAGAAGGAAGCATTATCTTGGGGCAGGGACTGGTTCTTCCTTGCACTAGAGATGGAGTCAGGGCAAAGCAAAAGGGTCTCAGTGTTAAAACACAAGGGCATTGTATAAGAGGGACAGGAGCTGGGTACATTCTATCAGCACCCACTGCTGGGGGTAAATGTGAGTTTTGCTCATAATTCAATAACTTTTCAAGCACTTTATGAATACAAACATATTGTAATATAAATTAAGTTGTGGAGGGTGTATTTTAATTGCCATTTAGAACAGAAGACGTAGGCATCAGATACATTCAGGCCTAGCTGGTGTGGCACTGACCGTACTGAGGGAAACTGTCCCCCTTCCCTGGTCTTCTCCATCCTCTCAGGGTGACTGCAGTGTGGGGAGTGCTGTTGTGATGCTGATCCTAGTCCACCCTGTCACCTTCCATTTTCAGTCCCTTGGGCTTGCTTCTGTCTCACTTTTTTATGTAGAACTCTTTGATACCTCAGCTTGGAGAGAGGATTTCTTTTTCCCTGGCTCTAGGAACACTGTCTCTGTCTCAAAGTTGCCCCCAGGGGCTCCTTCTAGACTTCCACACTTGGCTTTACTCATATCCAAGGTTGCTCCTACGGATCCTGTTTGATGCTAATCTTTAACTTTCATCCTGTTAGGGTGGGTGCAGAAGAGGGTGAGAAGGTCCCAGATTGCTCTGTTCTCCAGCACTCGAATGAACTGCCCCTGCCCACTTTCCCTGCTTGGGTCAGTCTTTCCTTATCCCCCACCTAGTGACATGTCCACCCAGCTGGCTGTCCAGAGTGAGCCCCAATTCAGGTCACATGTGCATCACTTTGCCTCAGATCTCCAGGTTCCTGCTGCCACTTTCTACTCTTAATTTTATCTCTGCTTGGAAAATGCTCATGAGACCATCTGGTCTTAAGTACCTCACTGTTAGAGGAGATGGAAGACAAATACTCTACAAATGGCTGCTTCTCCCCTCTGGGAGCCCACTGTTTCATTGTAAATAATTTACAAATATTTTTGTAAAATATTTCTGCTTAGACAACTTTTCCCTTTGAGCTGAAAACTATGTCCTAGTAATTTCCACACATCATTCCTTCTATACAGTGAAGACCAAGCTAGAGATACTTCCATACCCTTGTATCTCCCTATTCTAGGTAGTTCTCTACCATTGCCTAAATATTTTGCATCTTTCTCTGGATTCTCATATCATGTTAACATTAGACACCTCAGCCGATCTGTTCCCCTCCTACTTTAAGTCCACCATAGGGGATTCCCTATGTTAAGACTCTAGCTTGTGCTTGGGATCAGAATCTCTCATCTATGCCTGTGTCCAAGTCCTTGATAGAGAAGAGGAAGGGAAGGCCTCTGAGATCAGGGACCCAGGGTCACCTCAGTGCAGGGACAGATAGAGGGCAGGCCACACTGATAATCAGTTATATCTTTCTCAAGAATTTCAAGTTAAGCAAACAAAAAACAACAAAGAAAAGGAATTGAAATATACAATGTTACAGATTTCAATGAGGTAAAAACAATTACTATTTATAGGAGCTAAAGAAGATAGTTACAGCAATGAGATCAGATTAGGTGATTTTCTTCAGTGCTACATATATGATAATGTTGGTGTTGAACTGAAATTTATGTCCTTTGGGTACATTTCATGAGCTTGTATTTTTAGGTTATATAAGTATTTGGAAAAAGTAGGTAAAAATTTAATGAGAATGAATTGATAGTTGGAAGTTCTGCTAAGAAAATAGAGCATATTTAGTAGGAGACTGGAAAATATACTGAGGCAGTAAATATTTCTCCAAGGCAATGACAAAACATGAGTCTAACTTGCACGGTAATGACTTGGCTGCCAACCATAACCATCTCTGAACGAAGTGCAAAGTTATAAAGAAGACAAAGTGATTTGAGGAACCAATAACCTTCCAAACCACCTCTCCTAGAGTAAAAGAATATTAGAAAAATTAAACATTGTATGTACTTACAAATAATACATAATTGTATTATTTTAGATTGTAAGGTAAATGCCAGGAAAACAAGCCTTAAAACAATAGTTTTGGGAACTGGTCACATCACTGAATAAAGAAAAAAAAAAAAGAAAAAGAAATGACTACATTAGAATATTAAAAACTTCTAGTCACAGATGAGGAACAGCTGTAATATTCATAGTGCTTACTTTCTGAATTTAACTTTATTATGTTCATTATTTCTCAAGGAAAAAGGTAGCAGCAGTTCTAAATATCACTCAGCTAAGATACTTTAATGGTACCAGTGGCTCCCAGGGCACTGATTCACCCTCGGTACAGCCTGGGTCTACTCGATGCCGAGAACTTCCTGACACTATCTGTGAAGTGGAGGCAATGACCAACCCCTTACTGCACTTCTGTGACAGTGAATGAATTATGAACAGCACCAAAACCAGTGCTTTGCAGTGTAAGTCCTCAGCAAGAAGCCCTGCACCCCAGTACTCAGGAGTACCTCTTCCTGCTGCCTCCCGTCCCTGGAGCAGGCCACCTGCACAGTCCTAAGAGGCGACCGTGCTGTGCCCAGTCTGCCTCCTGCCCACACAGCACGCACACACTTGCTGCTCTTTCGTGTCGGAGGCTCCTTCTCTTCTTTCTCCTTTTCATTCGAGGCCTGGCTTAAGTGCTGCTTTCTCTTCCAAGTTTTTTCAGTTCCCACATCCAGGGTTCTCTCATTGTCTCAACGTCATGGAGTGGCTGCTGCAGACCTTACTTTCTCTTGCCCTGCAGGCCCTTCCCCTCCATCCTTGCCCCAGAGTGTAACCGAAGGAAGTTAAGCACTAGGACTTGCCTTTCCTTTGCAGCAGTCTACAAAGTTCTACCATTTACAGCATCCACACCATTCAGTTCCCAGTCTTCTGGAGAGCTACACACAACTTTCATCAGATGAACTGTTGTCCTTGCTGAGGTTTCCACTCAGGTGATGACCCTACTTCATGGTCACTGAGAACAAGAGTAGTAGCTGCTCACCCTTGGGGACTGTCTGTGATGAGCTGGATCCCTCCTTTCTCCTCTCAAGGGCTTTCTTTCAAAAACTCTCCTCTTGCTTTCTTATGGGATTACTTTCCCTCCTTCTACTTATTACTCCTATATGCACACAGACATGCCATTAATTTTCCTTCTGATAGAAACAAACCAACAAGCAAACAGTCTTGCTACCACATCTCCCCCAGCTACTGAATCACTTTTCTACTTGTGCTCACAGAAAAACTCTCTGAAAGATCTGCTTTTAACCTCTTTTTTTCAGAACACAAAAGTATGGCACATGAGTGAGGAGTTCCCTAATACCACATGCATGGCTACAAACTTCCCACCTTCACTTGCTCTCTCTCTGTCTCTTTCTTTTGTTCTCTTTTTATTTCATTTTTTGCCACACTCCTAGAGTCTGCTGCATTCAGCATGTTAAATATAATATATGCCTCCATTTAACATGCAATGCAGCGTTCACTCCTAACTTTGGGGTTGTGGTACATTCAGAGACCTAACTTTGGGGTTGT